TTTTTTTTTGCTAGCTAGTTGAAAGTTGCATTCACTGGTTCAAAGCATTTAGTAATTATTACCAGTCCACTGAAAAAAAAAGTCAGGTTGACCTTTTCTATGGGTAAATCAGCTCCTGGTTGGCTTGATAGCACAGTTGGTAGAACACTGCTTCAGTATCAATATCATACCTGAAATTTTTCAGGCTTCTGTTTTAAAGTTGCAGACTTAATATGCATCAGTGTTTGTCTTTAAGTGGTTGTTCTTCTTACAGTTCAAAATACAGTATGGGATAGTAATGATAATTTCAGTTTTACTAAGATATTAACTTCATGGTTTATTGCAGCAAGGTATCTACCAGCAGTCTACCAGAGGATGAAAAGGATCTACGAAATCATGAAATCAGTTTTGTCAAGAAATTCCAAAGTTTTCAAGACAGAAACCTGCGTTTAAGTGAGCAAGAGACAAGCAAACTGAAGAAAGCGAGAATGGATGGAAAGCTTCATGAAGAAATGTTGGACAGGAGAGAAAAGATGAAAGCGGATAGGTATTGTAAATAAAATAGGCGGAGGCATACACTTTGTAATAACTAAATAAAGAGATTCATTTTGTTATAGTAAAAGTGATGAGTGATGTGACGTTTCATATATGCTGTACCTTTATGTTATTCTGTAGTGTAAGAAGTGGTCCTTTTCCTGGCAAATTTAACCTAGTATTGGTTTGTTTCTTTAATTTTTATCTGAAACATTAGCTTTTAGTTAAAGAAATTAATTTTTCAGCTGAATCTAGGCTTTATAGTGAGTCTTTTCACTGTAGTAACATAATTATTCTGATTGTGTCTCTTGCAGTCTCTGTTGCTAATAATGTTTTCTCCTTTTGGTGTTGTAAAATATTTTAAATTTTTAGAGTCTTGTGCTACCATATACATACATATACTGTTAGTCTGTGTGCTAGAACACAGACAGCCCAAGGATGATCATCAGCAGAAAAAAAGTAACAGACAACAAGCAATACACTGTGGAACTGAGATAAGGCATTTTTATCAAGAGCTTTCTAGTAGTTGTACCTCCTAAAACTGATCGTAAATGTTCCTTTACATAGTCATATAATAAATTTTGCCCTGACTGCCCTTGTACGAGAAGTTTGTCACTCACAATTGGGCTGCCTGTGGTTAGAATCATCCAAAATGTTTCTTTTTTTAGTCAATGACTAGTTATTTTCCAGCAAACTGTTTTGTTTACAAATGAGAAACATGCATAAGATTTGAATAAGCATTCATAGGGAACATTAAAATTTCATTCTTTGATTAGCCTGTGGAAATTCTCAGAATTTGAATTTTGTTGGTCAGTTGTGTGCTAGAGGACATGACAAGGCTGTTACTGGATGTCAGCAATAATATTTTTTTTACTGCACATATTATTTCTTGTGAAATTAGATACATTGTACCTGCAGATGTTTGTAGGCATGGAATACAGTACACTTTCCTGAGTCTGCTGCCCCTTAAAATCCAG